TGTATGAGCCCCTAATAAAATGATTAAAAAACAACAACAGCAAAGCTAGGCTTCTCGTCTACGGTGACGTCTCGTAGCATGGTGCCCATTCACTCACTGCCATCCAGTCAAGTCTCACTCTCAGTGACCCTACAGGACAGGCTAGAACTGCCCCTGTGGGTTTCTGAGACTGCCATTCCTTCCGGGAGTGGAAAAGTCCTGTTCTTCTCCCTCAGAGAGGCTGGTGGTTTCGAACTGCTGACCTTGCAGCTACAACCCAACTCGTAACCACTGCACCACGAATAAGGCGAGAGAACACCTTAGCTGTGGCAGGGATTTTTTGGTTTGGGCCATGTTTCAGAACCTAGTTTTTCACTCTTAAGCCATGTCTGTCCTATAACAGTTCTCAGAGCCCGGATGACATTAGATCTCACTAGAGCAGCGGTTCTCAACTGTGGGGCGTGATCCTTTGGGGGTCGAACGACCCTTTGACAGAGGCCGCCCGATTCATAACAGTAGCAAAATAACAGTTATGAAGTAGCAACGAAAATACTTTTATGCTTGGGGGGGTCACCACAACAGGAGGAACTGTATAAAGGGCCGCGGCATTAGGGAGGTCAAGAACCACTGCTCTAGCGCTCCACGTCCAGAAGTCATGCCTTCTGCTATAAATGACTCCCGGCTGCCACACGCCCCTAGAAGCCAGGCCACGCTGCCGAAAGACTGGGGAGTCTTCACAAGATGGCCAGGGGGGACAGAGGAGCACAGAGCAGCCAACTTCACCGTGGGATTTCAAGAACTCAAGGGAGGGTGAGGGGGGGATGCAGCAGAGAGAAGCTCCAGTGAGCTTTGGTTAAGCATCATCCCAAGTGCCCTTGAATGTCCCCTCTTGGTCAGATGTCACTGGCCCTGACCTCTGATTTATTGCGTGGGCCTGGTAATACAATGAATAACCTCCAAGTGGCCTCAACTGAGCTAAAGGGCTCATGGCAATTACACGGCTGAATAAGCCCCTTACTCAACGAGGATGGACAAGGGCCGTCTCTGAGAGGTTTCAGGTCAGGCCTGGCTGGCACCTTGGCAAAACCAGCCCCCAAAATGGTTCCAGGGGGCGTGCCCATGGGGTCCCTATCAGAGCACCAGGCCAACTTGATGGTAGCTGGCTTATCAACAAGAAAAGGATGGGTAGCGGCCCTCCAGTTTTTACACACTAGTGATGACCCAAAGCCAAGGAGTCACTGCCATCGAATCGACGCTGACTCATAGTGACCCTGTGGCACAGGGTGGAACTGACCCTGTGGCTTCTGACACTGTAGCTGTTTACAGGAATGGAAGACTTCGTCTTTCTCCTGACGAGTGGCTGCTGGTTTCGTAGACCTGACCCGGTGGGCAGCAACCCGATGCATAACCCACTACGCAGCCAGGCAGGGGTCCACATACCTGTGGTGGTGCACTCGTAGTCAAAGCTGGTCACATCGTTGAGATTCTTCTCCTGGTATTCCGGAGGGCCCAGGCACAGGACATCCGAGACAGTAGAATTTGTCATCTTCAGCCACAGGTACAGCCACTTGGCTTTGCAGTCACACTCAAATTTATTGCCCCTTAAATCCCTACCAAGAAAAACAAAGCACAGCGAGCTCACACACGCCAAGAAACAGACCCGTGTCAAACAGCTTGGTCGTGATATGGGATTCCAGAATGCTGACATCCCACGAGATACAGGGGCCTCATAACGTTGGGGGAGAAACAGAATAAAAAGCCAATGAGATATGAAGCCCCCTTGCATTTAACATCCAAAGGGGAAAAAATGTTTAATTTAAAAAAATTGTATTCGAGGCATCCAACTTTTTTGTACTTGGTGACTAACTTGAATTCAGGGCCCTGGGTGCCCGTGGTTTTAAGTGGATGCAAGCAGGGAATCAGTTCTTGGTGCTAACACATCACCATCTCTCCAAACCCGCTCAGAAGTGTCACCAGGTCATGCTGGAAAGTGAGTGGGGTGACGGAAGGACACCCCAGCTCGGGTGCTTATAAAAAATGCAATGTTACAGAGAAGTAGTGTCCATAGATAGAGTTGACACCTTAGGATCTTGTTAAACTATGTCCAGCAGAGAGTGGCATCTTGAGATAAGGGGAGCCTTCCTCAAGCTAGCCTCATCTCCCCTGGCCCATGGGTACCAGCATAGGACACGATGACAAGCATCCACAACAATACCAGCTAGATGCTGGCTCCCAGCATGCACTGCTCTGCTATAGCATTTTAGCTGTCGTCAGGGCGGGGCGAGGGGAACATTTAATGCCAGAATTAACTAGGACACTACAGACAGCACACAGGAACTTCATTTCCATTACTTACAGTTCAATCAGAGAGTCTAGATCGCTGAAGACATCCCTGGGGAGGGCTTTGATGTGGTTATTGGCCAAAGAACTAGAACAAGAGAGTCACATTTTACTGTGGTGATTATTTT